CACTGCACTCCAGCCTGGGCAACAGAGCAAGACTCTGTCTCAAAAAATAAAAATAAAATTATCCACTCTGCCTATACATGTCTTTTAATTAGTGTATTTAGAAGATTTGCATTTCATATAATCACTGATACACTGAGGTGTAAACCTGCTATAGTGTGTCTAGTGTTCTGTTTGCTGGTTTTGCTTTCTTTTTCTTGCCTCCCTATGGGTTATTTGAGCATTTTTTAGAATTTCATTTTGTTTTACCTGTAGCATTTTTTTTTTTTGAGTGTATCTCTTTGTGTAGATTTTTTAGGTGGTTGCTCTGGATATTATGCTGTAGATGGATAAACACATGTAACTTACTACATTCTAAAAAGTTACCATTTTACCAGGTTAGCAGCCTGTAGAAGACTTACCTTTCTTTATAGTCCCTTTACCCTACCCTGCTGATCATATAGTTGTCTATTTCTGCTATGTACATTGAGAACCACTTCAGACAGTGTTACTATTTTTTGCTTTAAATGGCAGACATAATTTGGAAAATTCAAGAGGAGAAGGAAAGTCTATCATATTTACCCTTTTTATTTTTTCACTTTTTCCTTTATTCTTTCTTCCTTCCTGATGTTCCAAGATTCCTTTTTGGCTAAGCATGATGGCTCACGTGTTTAATCCCAGCACTCTGGGAGCCCGAGACAGGTAGATCACCTGAGGTCAGGAGTTTGAGACCAGCCTGGCCAACATGGTGAAATGTTGTCTTCACTAAAAATACAAAAATTAGCTGTGCATGGTGACAGGCACCTGTAATCCCAGCTACTCAGGAGTGTGAGGCGGGAGAATTGCTTGAACCCAGGAGGCGGAGGTTGCAGTGAGCCAAGATCGTGCCGTTGCACTCCAGCATAAGCAATGACAGTAAAACTGCATCTCAAAAAAAAAAACCTCTATCCTTTTTTTTGGTGAGGGCTGACAGGGTCTTAATTTTACTCTGACACCCAGACTGGAGTGCAGTGGCACAATCAGAGCTCACTGCAGCCTTGACCTTCTAGGCTCAAGTGATCCTTCCATGTCACCCTCCCAAGTAAAGCTGGAACTGCAGGTGAGCACCACTACATCCAGCTAATTTTTTATTGTTTTGTAGAGACAGGGTCTCCCTTTGTTGCCCATGGTGGTCTCAAACTCCTGGGCTCAGTTTTCTTACCTTGGCCTCCAAAGTGCTGGGATTAGAGGCATGAGCCACCTAACCCAGCCAAGAACTTCTTGTAGCCATTTTTTTAGGTTAGGCCTGCTGGCAACAAATTCTTTCCATTTTCCCTTATCTGTGTTATGGACTAAATGTTTGTGTCCCCCTCAAAACTCATGTGTTGAAGCCCTAACCCCCAGGGTGGCTATGTTTGGAGATGGGGCCTCCAAGGAAGTAATTAAAAGTAAGGAAGGCTATAAGGGTGGAGTCCCGAACTAATAGGATTACTGTCCATGTAAGAGGAGACACCAGAGAGCTTGCCCACTCACATGAGCACAAGAAGAGGTCATGGAGCAAGCAGTGAGCACACCGTGAGATAGTAACCACCTACAAGCTAAGAGAGGAAGCCTCAAGGCTGGGCATGGTGGCTCACACCTGTAACCCCAGTACTCTGGGAGGCCGAGGTAGGTGGATCACTTGAGGTCAGGAGTTCAAGACCAGCCTGACCAACATGGTGAAACCTGGTCTCTACTAAGAGTATAAAAATTAGCCAGACATGATGGCGGTGGGCACCTGTAATCCCAGCTACTCAGAAGACTGAGGCACAAGAATCGCTTTAACCCCAGAAGCAAATGTTGCAGTGAGCCAAGGTCATGTGCTTTGAAACCATTATTAAGTGAAATAAGGGTTTCTTGAACACAAGCACTGCAGTGCTACTACGGTTGATCTGCTTGATAATCGAGATGGCTGCCAAGTGACTAACAGGCAGGGAACCTATACAGCGTGGGTGTGCTGGACAAAGGGAGGAATCACGTCCCTCTGGGGGACAGAGTGGGATGATTCGAGAATTTGTTTATTTCTGGGATTTTCCATTTAATAATCTGGGGCCATGGTGGACTGAGGGTAACTGAAACCTCAGAACAAGGCTGTAGATAAAGGGACTACTGTATTCAGGGAAACCTAATATTTCAGTAAAATGTAACCAAGGAGAGAAAATGAAGCTGGAAAAGCAGGTCAGAGGTCAGGTTGGGAAGGGCTTTGTACTTTTTATTTTGTAGGTCATGGAGTGCCAAGTCAGACTTCTCTTTTTTTTTTTTTTTTGAGACAGAATCTTACTCTGTCACTCTTGGCTCATGGCAACCTCTGCCTCCTGGGTGCAAGTGATTCTCCTGCCTAAGTCTCCTGAGTAGCTGGGATTACAGGCACACACCACCACACCTGGCTAATTTTTATATTTTTAGCAGAGACAGGGTTTCACCATGTTGGCCAAACTGGTCTCAAACTCCTGACCTCAAGTGATATGCCCACCTCGGCTTCCCAAAGAGCTAGGATTACAGATGTGAGCCACTGCATTCAGCCTCCAAGTCAAGATTTCTTAAAAAAAAGTTCCTCTGGCAATGGAATAGAGGATGGATTAAAGGGGGCAAATTAGAGAAAATCTGGAGCCATTTCTAAATTCTTAATTCTTGCTTTTCAACTTGTTTTTGGTTTTAGGTTGTGGGTCTATCTTGAACACAAATGGTGAGGTTGAAATGGACGCTAGCATCATGGAGGGAAAAGACCTGTCTACAGGAGCAGTGTCCGCAGTCCGGGGTATAGCAAATCCCATCAAACTTGCTCGGCTTGTCAAGGAAAAGGTATATGTTACTCAACATCCTTTTCCAACTGTTATCGCTATACTTCAGTGAGAAGGGCTCCAACTGTGCAGAAATACTTGAGATCGCTGTTCTCATAAAATATATACAAAACAGAAGCAATGTATTTGAGTTTCTCAAATCAGCCAAGATTCTTGACTGGTAATCACTTGACCAGTGAGTGATTACTTTATCTTCCTGTATTATCTTCAGACCACATACAAAATGACCAGACCAGCTATTTAACAGCCTGTGTTAAAGATGGATTGAGTTCTCTAAATTTAACATAATATGTAAATCGCATCTCTAGTAACATTCCATCAACTGGGGGCTTTTTTTTTTTTTTTTTG